ACTATAAAATACACCAAAAACGCAACATAATTACGAAATGAAACAATTTTATTCGTGCTCTGTAATCCAAATCTTCCGAATCCACTGCAAGGAATAGACCCAAATCCATGCCTTTATTTGGCGATCTTCATCTCCATCCCGAGCAGCGAGTCCAGTGACTACTGTATTCTGCCAGAGAGAACCGCGGCTGCAACGCGTAGTCGTTTGGATTACTTTTGGTACTGCTTTTGACATTTTTGCAATAAATAAATGATTGCAATTGCATTTATCTGTCTGTCATGTTTTTCTTATACTGTACAGAAATAGTCATGTTTAGGTTTATAGGTAGGAGTGGGATTAGCGACTATAAAATATTTTTAATGCTATATTGTTACTAAAATGGTTATTTTCCTGCATATTTCGATCAATTGCGTTTTATATCCTTTTATATTTGCTACAAAATGGGTAGATTAAGGTTTGGAGGTAGGTTAAGGGGTCTAAAAATCTAAATCGCTTATAGATAAAATGATAAAAATGCATTGATACAAATATCTTAATGATATAAATGTTACGTAAATATTGTACGTTTTTTAGTTAAAAATACGTAGCCTTTAAACCTTGAAATACATCTAAATTGTACGTTTTAGCATCAATAAAAATGTACAAAAATGTAAATTTTGTGCTTGTAAATGTTACGTATTAATACCTATGTATAAACATGAGACCAGGCTGAACAGTCTTGATTGAGATGTGGTATTTTAATTTTACACGTTTTCCATCACTAACCCTTTAAAACTCTTTATTCCAGCAGTTTCATTTTTTCCGTATTAGTGCCCCCCACAATCTGTCTCTGCCTCCAAAATTGTCCGGCACAACTGACTTTATAACAACAGTGATAGCTGCTGTAACTAAAAAGTAGCCCAGTACACACATTAACCTCAAATGTACATGGAATAATAAATTCACTCCTACCGTTTTATTACATTATGTTTTCTGTTTCTGCTGTTTAGGTTTTAATGCTGCATTGCACATCTGAGCTATTTGCACTATTTTAATACTGCTGCAAACTTTTTATAATTGATAATTATATATTGCCATTTTAAATTATTTGTATTCTTAAGCTTTTCTATCAATTTGGAACTTTCAAAATAAATCTTATTGTAACGTTACTTGTACAATGACAAAGATATTCTATTCAATTAGCTCATGCTCTC